ATTACGGATTCGCCGACACCAACCCACACGAGCTATGGTTCTGAGACAACGATTGTCGAACACCTGAAGACGTCTCAGGTCCACTGCTCGAATAGGCCAAGTCTCACAACTATACAACAGCTCAAAACTGATACTTCCTTGCCGAACAACCACGATTTAACGGAAAGCTTTACTGTGAAAAGAGTCAAGTTAGACGGGGAAAGGACTACTGCAATTCTACTACATCACAGGCATTAACAGGTGCCTAAATCTTTGAACACTCATTCAGGTAATCTGGATAGTAACTGAAATCAGTTTGGGGCGATATCTTTCGGCGTCTCTAATCAGGCGTAGTGGGGATCACTCGATCTTCCTCCCGCTGCTTTCGCCACTTTGAATTGGACACGCAAACAGTGGTCTATTCGACAAAGGATGGTTCGGCATATGCAATACATAGCCTAACCAACGCGGCCTCTGGTCTTAGACACATCTTTCAATGGAAGTCCCTGTTGCACAACCGAAAGCGAAAGCAAATACAAAAAACACAGCGATCAGCTTCCAGCTCGTGAGATTAATTCTTAAACCCTGTAAATTGAACTGCGCAGAGACGCTTGTTGGAAAAATTAGCCTCCCCTACGGTGACTTAGGACGATATCAAATCGCTCCCGTAAGGCTCTGGATCCCCACAGTTGCGCAGCTCGAAACGATCAGAGAGGGTTGAGTAGTTATCTCAGTCACCGTGTTTGGATTTTGAATTCTTGTCTGTGATACACACCACAAATCAATATCAAGCAAGTCCACCCTGAGAGAAAGTGCAGCTTGTTTTCGTCCTTGCTTTAGAGTGCGGATACTGAAATCAGCCCATTATACTCGACGTAGAGGGTTGAGAATGAGTCTCGAGCTGCCTGAGGAGGTCAGCTTCAGGCGAAACGCAGATATCGCTTACAAAGCTGATGGTGGACTAACGGGATCATCAGCCCTAACTAACGGATCCACATAAAGAAAATTATTAATAAGGTGAGGAGGATGGAATGAAAAGCGTGCGAGAGAGAAAGAATGGAGGCGCCAGAATGTGCCTATTTTCGCTTACCTGCCCTGTTGTACGCAGCAAATAAGGGGACATGGCGCCACGTGACGGCTGATGATGAAATGAGTTTATTCGTACGTGTGAAATTCGTGGTTCTACGTGGGCGGAGATACTGCTACTGCGCTTACCATAGATAGGGGAACGATTAAAGCCCTCAATCAAAGCCTTTGGCCCAAAAGTCTGTCTGCAAGGCAGCAATGTTTCGCGGGAAATGCAAGCACATTTCAGTTTTTACAGAAGAAGTTTACAGCACAGTACATTTTCTTAACCCCAAGCTGGATACCCAAGATACCCAGAGCCGGGCCTATGACCACTGACCTACCTTGTATGAGAGATCCTTCTAATGTCACACAGACACCCGCCAATATAACTCGTTGGGTCACGGAGGTACACAAATCGTCACATCATGGTAACGCTTAGTCTGTGTGAGATGGTCTTGATGCCTCAACTTGACAAGAATCCAAAATGATGGTCTCCAATCATCATACATGGATACTTGTGTCAGTATGCTTAATGAGAAGCCACAAATTCTGAGAAGGGGAGCAGTTCCCTCTTACGTTCTTGCAAGCCGTGAACGGATAAAAACCGTTCGTTTGTAGTAATTAAGTGACAACAGCGCTACGCCCTCCGTATGCCTTCTTTTTATCTTCGAGGTTTTCAAGTGTCGGAATACAACGTTCCACCCTAGAAGTCCAACATCCTTCCCCCAGAACAATCTCTGGATTATGTAGATATTATCAAAAGTATTTAAATTCATCTTTCATCTTTCGAGGCTATAGCAGATACAATTAGAAAAGAAAAAACTAAAGAATGTGTGTATATTGTTGCGCAATCCAACCCGAGAGATCCCAAGGTGTGATTGAAAGTTGATATCCCGGTGGCTTGGTTATAAAAAGCCCTTCGTACCGGAATGACAACAGAATGTGTAAAACACTTTTCAGCGGGCATGGATTTACTGCCAGAATAAGACCCCATTGCAATGCTCCGAAAGGAGAAAGACAAAGCTTTGGCGGTGCATAGTGCCGAATTGGATTAGGAGCACAGATTTTATGCACCGGAATGTTCACAGAATATTGATGAGTCTTTGCTGAATAAAGTAACCACCCGCACATAAATATCTACACTTTATCAAATGCTTAACAAACGATGGATCTTGAGCATCAGCCTAAAGGCCGCTCCTCTTTAAATTCATCCACTGCTGAGTACTATACTTGAGAAAGGCCACTTCAACTGTAAGACATCAATGGTTCGTACGAAAAACCGGGCATCATTTAGGAAGTCACATTTGAAATAACCTGAGGATCACCGCCTGTCTTGAGCAGAAGAACGAAACGCCAAATTCTGTCATTTCCCTGATGTATGTGTCAAATCTCAATACAATGCAGATACCTCATTGACATACTAATCAAGCTTTTTTAAAGCGATAATATGCACTCTGTGCTGAAGTTCTTGTGATAAAAGAAAGGTTATACGCCCTCCTTAGGCTAGATTCCAGGCAACGTTCCCTGAAAAGTTACACTTCCTCATTAGAACCTAAACCAAATATAAAGTGAAGAGTTTTGCACGGAACATGAAGGTTACTTATTCGTTTTTCAAAAACGAAGGCCACTAAGCTTTGACAGTTGCTTTTTAGTGGAAATGGAGCGCTATACTTTTGATGGATCGCTATGTTTAGAAGTCCCATTTGATGAAATTTTATGGCCGCATACGTTCAGGCACTTTTGTAGTATAAATGCTCTAAACCTCCTTTTTATCGCCTAAGAATACCGAGTACGTAGTCTGTTTGGTTACCCCTCTTAGATTCAAAGGTTGCCTTTGTTTCATGTTTGCCATCAAAACAAAACAAAACATGATCCACGTTTACTATTACGCAAGTCTCACTGAATAATTTAGCTTGTCTCTGAACCAGGTTAGACCATACCAACCTAGGCATGTGCAGATTTTATACGGTGGTGCTCATACAGTTAGCTATATGGGCTCAATAAAAAATTCATACAAATGAATGGAAGATATCAACTTCAGAGCCCGTCATCTGACAGGGTTTCTTGTTTTTCAACATTTTTGAAGACACACAAATCGTATCGGTATTCACTAAAAACTGAATAGGTTTCGAAATACTACGCCAATCACAAACACATCGTAAAGAACTGTAACAAACAATGGGGAGACAATGTCAACAGCGCAAAGCATTGTTTAATAAACCATCAGTGATCACGCCCAAGCGCCTCTCCGGATAACCTTAAGAGTGCACACTGTGTTAACTTGGAAAACTGACAACAGCGCCAGGAAATTTCGTGCTGCAGCGATAGCATGCATTAATTCGTCTGGTCTGGAGCAAAGTACGAATAAATGTGATGGCATGATGATGCGATACTATAACATGTAGTTAATTTAAGCTTTACGGCATCGATATAAAATAAAGATACGGACCACTGTGAGTCAAAATACTGGAAGGATGTTAACTGTAAGGGTCTGCTTTGCATGTTGCCTACTTTGCAGACCGTTCCTGAAGTCAATGGTTTTCAGATATTCCGAAAGTTGGCTTGCATTTAATACGGCTGAGTAGAAAAGGTAGATTATTTTTTTGTATGAAAGTTTAAAAACGTCTTTAACCATATATTATGAAGCAGGAATCTTGAATAAAGCATATATTGTAGCTCAGTTGCTTATAGAATTCGATCACCTAGAGGAATGGCTCTCCAGAAGTTAAACTGGGATTAAAAAGTTAGGCATCACTGGGGCGGTGATAGAAGGTTGATTACTTTACGCCGTTGGCAGCTAGAAACCGATTCGTTCAGTCGAAGAAATGGAACAAGAAATTTGTGCTTTTGAACGGTTTATTCACGATTAGTGGATGTTTAAAAAAACATTTGGAATCTATAAGTCACCAAAATGTAACTTAAAAAATTTATCTGCATGTCGGTTATCAAGCGTTTGTTCTTCATTAGTCTCAGAAGCATACGCTTCATCTGGCTCTCTAAGAGTTTCGAAATCAAAAATGTGAAGACTACGCGGATTCAACTCAACGCCCATTACTGCGTAACTCAAAAAATTATTTAGATATTTTGAAAACGAACCTTATTTTAGAGGCTCACTCAGTTACGGACCAGACGATCAACAATCATCCATAAATTTCAAAATA